CTACGCACAGACGTGGTCTCCGGTAGTCGAACCCGGATTGACTGCTTGGAAGGCAGCCATGATAACCGCTGTACAATCTATCAATCTATTGTAATGATATTAAGGTTTTGACTGAAGCCAACTTAATCTTAATAGCTAAAATGTACAGTCTCCTAATATGAAAATGTTTGAAGTCAAACAAATGTAAGTCTCTGTGTATTGAAATTTTTACCTGTTTAGCCAAAGTAATGTAGGGGTCGATAGTTTTATCACTTATTTGATATCGAGTTCATTAAACAGTGTACAACATGACATGGAGCTGACTAACTGAACTTAAAAATGGTTGTTTTTGTAAATAACAAATTGATTCATCGATTTCTACTAAGATTATGAGACTTGCAGAGAGAGATTTGAATCAATTTCAATTATGCGCACTGCTCTTGAGAGTACCAAGCACTGGGTCGGAACGACTGTTCAGTGCTCCGTGGCTTTCATTGATCTCTAGCTGATGTATGTTTGTACGTGACCGAATCTAGCAATTGATATCAATCCAAATATCCGTGAATGCTACAAGCTTTATGATTGGACGCTAGTCAGTAACTAGTGTAATGTATCTCAGTGGTAACGTCTCTGACTGCAGCACTCACTGAGTGATATGGGTTCGAATCTCAGAAGGGATATGAGTTCCTTCAAGGTTGCAGGTACGCCTCGCTGATGAGTGCCAACTAGCACGAAATCTAGGTGCAATGCATTCTGCCGATTGCCTCCAACCATCTTATACCAATGTTACAATCTATTTATCCATCTCAAGCTCTTTGATGGCCACTGGATTGATTTCCTGAAGCCATAATGAGAAATCAGGACGTGTTGGGCCTGCCATTTCAAGGTGACGTAGATGCTCATCTTTAAGGCATTGGTTTGTGGATAGCGCTATATCGTGAATTGCCAGGGTTAATAAATTTCAACCGAAGTAGCTGAATGACCAACAAGTTTGGTCTCGTAACCTGATGTACTGGGTGCGATGCTTGGCAGAGTGTTGGGTGTGCGCTGATGAAGAGGTCCTAGCACTAGGACGAAATGAACTGTCTAGTGCTCCTTGGTTTTCAATGATCCCTCTGACTGATGTCGATTTGTGACGAAATCTAACAGCTGTACCAAATTTTTCCTCATTTAAAATAAAACAGAGCCTTTGGTAACCCATAGGTATCTTAAACTAAAGCTCTGTATGTATTTTTGTGTGTGCGTGTACGTACGGTGAATAGCTTATTTGCCACAACCACAGTAGAAAATTTATTCTATAACCCTTAAAAGAGTGACCACATTTGAAACTTTTGTCTGTTTTCGTTTGTTAAATTTTTGTGCATCACAGTGAAGCTTTTAATTACTTCACAACATACACACACACATGCACACACGAAATGTGTGTATTGTGTGTGCTGACCTTCAGAGAGAGATAGGTGTATAATTGTTCCAAAAGGGATTGCTTGCTTTATTGTTGTTATTGTTGTGTTTGGGTCATATTCACCAAGAGAGAGAAAAAAGTTAGCTGACTGACTAATCTGGACAAGTCAACCTGTTCACTTGTTCACTTTATCCACCCATCTATCTGTCTATCTATGAATCATTACGTTTGTTCAATGTGAAAGAGTTTTCTTTGTTTGTAAGATAAGACTAGGGCACCATACTGTTTTCTTCATTTCAGATGGCATACATAGTCCACTTGTTCTTCATTGGTGTTATTATTATTATAGTTGCTATTGTTGTTGTTGTTGTTTTCGTAACAGAAATAATCCGAGATCCTAGTTGTACACTGTCTTCTAAATAAATAAAGTGCTATTTTTATTCGATGTGAATTGCAGTCATCAAGTACTAATTTAAAAATAGGTTTTGTGTGTGTGTGTGTTTGTGTATGTTAACTGCCTTTTTCTCACCCTTTTGGTGATTTTACAACACTATGGGAATGCTGGTTGTAGAGATTAAGATTGTTTAAGCCCACGTTAGATTTATTCGGACTGAGAACTTTCAAGTCAGTGACAGTCCACGGTCTACCAACCGACCTCTCTGTCTGTCTGTTTTCGACATAGAACTTTGCACCGATATGCGGCAGTTCGAGTCGCCACACTCCATGTAGCAGACAGAGCAAGAGAAGAAAGTAGAAAAAATGCATAATAGAGACAGTAAGTTGAGGTGTGGGACAAAGGAGTAGTAATAACGAAGAACAATATAGTTTCAATGGAAATCATGTCACAAGGAGTGGATGCATCTTTGCCAGCCATTGAGAAAGATTTTGAGCCATATCACCAATTGTTTCCAGCCATTGGTTTCTACCGTCCCGAGGACCCCAACCAGGAAGTCTACATCTTCCTACGTGGCTTAGACTAACTGTTGTAGATTTCATTGACTTGTGCCGTGTTTTGGTTTGACCACCGCTAGCTCTTTTCCAGTCTGACCCTATATCAGGTAACATTGCCCATCGGTCGAGGGAGGCGATGACTAGGCATACGTAACACATGTCCTAACCATCTCAGTCGATGTAATTTCACAGTCTCGTCTATTGATTTCCCCTTCCTCCTGACCTAGCACTCGACGCCTAACCTCAATATTGCTCACCTTATTATACCACTTCACACGGGAGATAGAACGCAGACACCTATGATCAAAGAAAACTAATCTTTTCATGTCTTACCAACCGACCGACCTATGAAATAATACTAATAATATCAGTAATGTTTAGTATTTACATTATGGGATTATTTCCCGTAGGGATTTGAATGAATTTCAGTGTAGATTTCGTCACGCATCAACATTTGTTAGAGAGATCATTGAAAGAGATCAGGAAGAACTGAACAGGTGCTACTTTTTTGTCCTAGTTAAGGATTGTTCAGCAGTACCTACTCACCCGGGGGTTCAAACCAAGGACCTTCCAGTTACAAGGCAAACTTACAGACCGTTCAGTCACTGGGACCAAATCGGGAGTGAGGACAAATTCTAGCTGGTGATATTGACTGATGGTTGCTCTGAAAATACGAGATGGTAGAGGTTAGAATTCATGGATTGGCCATTGGATTGAGTCCTAGTAGTAGCTGAATGGTCTATAGGCCTCCCTTGTAGCCGGAAGGTCAAGGTTCCGAACCCCAGTGGGTGAGCACTTCTGGAAAGCCCCATACTAGGACGAAACAACTGTGCATTGCCCTCTAGCTTTCAATTGTTCTCTAACAGATATCAATCCGTGATCAAAGCTGAGAATAATCAAATCCCTACAGACTAACTCTTGAGAATGGTTACAGTGTTGAAAGTATTTTTTTTTAAATTTTTGTTTTCAGCTTGATGCCACACCGTATTTTCAGTACAAGCATGGAATTTTCAGCATGTGATACCGGTAGCCCAAATTTAGCAGGCCGACCATAGATATCGGGTGTGCGTCTGCAGGGGATCGAACCCCGGACCATGTGGATGGTCGGTGAGAGTCCTAACCACTGTGCCACCGATGCACTAATGAGTAATAGGTAGAGAATAATAACCATTTTAAGGAATGAGAGCTAAATGTGCATTCTGATCGTCTGAAAAGAGTCAGATGGATCTTTAGCCTGAATAACACTTTACTTATCAGTAATCGATTTTCACAGGTTGTTGTTACTTTTAATTTCTGTTTTATATCTCAGATCAGATGAAGACATTTTCTCACAACATTACAATTATTAGATTTATTGATTAGATCAACTCTCAATTTTCTAAGGACAACAGGCTATTTATATTCATCTTGTAATTTTATCTTAGACATATCTTACAAATAACTTGCTTTGCTGAGCTAAATAGATCAACAAAGCAATTTGCATAAGTTTGTATTATTTCAAGATGTTACCTTCTAAAACAGTGTAAGACAAAAATGAACAGAAGGACGATACACACTCAATGAAACTTGTTCAGCATATTCGAATTGTAAACCATTGTATCTACTTTAAACCCAAATCATAGAGAGTTTCAAGTTATCGATTGTCAACTATACATGAACTTCAGTTAGATAATCTATATTGCTTAAATCAGCGGCAGTCAGAGATTTTTTGGGTGAATGTTTTGTACTAGGGTGTTTATTTAAGATCAACCATCCGGAACAGATATCTCCTATACCCCACTAAAAGCTACAGTTATCGTATGAGGGCCACCTAGTTGACCAGGCTGAAATAGCCCGAGTTGGACTCGAGTCCGTGACCCATCCGTTGAAAATCGAATGCTCAAGTCAATGAGCCACATCTATACTTCTACTGTAACGACAGAAGATAAGGGCCAGGCAACAGATCGTTTATTGAGGAAATCAAGAGATTTATATATATATTTTTATGTACATTATTATAGGTTATTGTTAGCAGACAAACAGAGTCTTCTGATTGATTGTTTTCTCACTGAACGTTAATCTGTCATCTCTTTGTGACCGTTTCTTTGAAGGTCAGATCATCTATCTGCGAATTGTATTCGCCCACTCAAAGTCTTTGTTCTTGTTTTTCTCATGACCAAGATTTGGGAAGTACGCATTGATCTAAATTGCTGTCTAGCAATTTTGGCTAGCAGACAGCTCTCACCACACTACTTTAGTTTGGTCAACCATAGGTCTTTTTCAAGATATTGCTTCACCTAGCATTAAACGATCTGCTTAAATGTCATCTGCTATTATATTTTAGTTAGTTGTGGCATAGTCACATTATACATAAGATGTTGAATCGGTGGTTCAGGGGTAGGATACTTGTCAATCATGCTTCACGTGGTCCGGGGTTGTAGTTCCGGCTAACGCAGTCCTAAGCCTCCCTTTAGGTCGATAGTAATCCCGATAAAGAGGGAAGGTTGCGCGTAAGGCTAGTAACCCCATTCTGGAAAGACAGACAAACACCACTGCTACTGAAACTTCAAGGCCTCAAGTTTGAGTCTCTGTGTTCCACTGGAAACGCAAAGGAATAAAATTAATAAAAAAATTATGTAAGATGTCATCAATCCTTGACTTCTTCCTTTGTTTTTGTTTCTCTTCCCAGGTATACACGTCGAAGCCGTCTATCACTGAACTGAACCATGTCAGATTGAATATTCCTCTATAATGCCATCATCTTATCATCACTGCTGAATACGGATTGTATACAAATTTTTTGATCTGAATACATTTCAATGAATGGAATTAAAGTGAATGTAAATAATCAGAATGGTGGTCAACACGATGACTATATGAGTATATTGAGCAATAATAATTATCTATTGGATTTTGAGCATATTTCTAACGATGTCTTTGAAGCCAACATTAAACCATGCTTAAAACAACTACGATGTGTTATCAATGAATTAATCGATAGTGAATCAGTCTATGTAAAGAGTTTATGTGATATTGAAGAGGTGAGTTTGTTGACATTTTTGCTTTTTGGATTTATCTGAAAAAGTAGATTTGGTTTTACTTTTTTGTCTTGTTCAGGAGAGAATTTAAACTATAGCACTCACTGATTGACTGAATTTCAACATGGAACTTTGCACAAAAGTGCCTTGCTTCAAGTTGTCACACACCCACACACACACACACTCCATGTAGAACACAAAGGTGAAGAAAAGAGCGGAAAAAGAGATTTTAAAAATACATAGTGAGCAGAAATGTAAGTGAGAAGTAATACTGTGCCTGTGCCATTGGGAACGCGGATTTTGAGACCAATAGTCTGCAGTAATTGGTTCTAAGCCTCCTGAAGTCCCCAACTAGGCAGTCTATAATTCCCTAAGTGGCTCAAATCAACTGTCAGTGACTTCGAAAGTATCTACATGCTTCTCATATGAGTGTGGATTTTCATGTAAATGATTATTGTTTTTGGTTGGGAATTATGCTTAGGGTTTATGTAGGGATAGATTAAGGCGCTTTCCGGATAAAGTCTTATCCATAAGTCTTGAACAGAACCGATTCTCTTGGGTTCTGAGTGGAATATACGCCTTCAATAGAACATTTCCATTACGTCCTGCTCTCTTTAGTTCTTTTTAGCTGGCCACACGATTTCTCATTAGCTCTCACCTCCTTCCCCTCACACAATTTCTTCTATGTCACCGTCAGACATACGATCAAATCATCGTTTCTCACTCGAGGAGTAGTCTGGCGTTGCGGTGTTACCCAACGGTCTTCTCTTCATTTCCTTCAGCATATTTGTTGGGCAATCGGTTCTTGATTAGTTCGTTCCCAGAGTTTCTTGTTGAACAGAGCTGGTTATTATAACGTAACCTTATTTCCTTTTTTACCACCCAAATTATCCTTTTTAACGCAATCGGTATGTTCATGATGCACTCGTTTGGTTGAGGTCCTATAGCTTATCTTCTTCTATATAGATTCCTGAATTATCTGTTCTTGAGAAAAGAATTCTTCTTGTTGCCTACTGTCATGGGAGACGCTACAGTTTATCTAACTTGAATGCTAAGTGATTCTCTTTTACTCCGCTTCACTTATTTGGGAAGTACCATGAGCCCCAACGGGTTGATCTCTGACAAAATCTCAGCACGGATACAGAGGGCTAGTTTCGCATATGCCAGTTTACGCCGTCTCTGGCGTAGACGTGATATCTGGCTATCGACCAAAGGGCGGGTGTACTGCTCATCAGTCCGCTACGTCCTCACTTATGGCTGTGAGACCTGGCCATTGAGGGTGGAAGACACGAAAAGCCTGGTTAGCTGTCTTTGATCACCGGTGCCTGCTTTCTATCTCCCGTGTGAAGTGGTATAATAAGGTGAGCATTATTGAGGTTAGGTGTCGAGTTCTAGGTAAGGAGGGGAAATTAATCGACGAATCTATGAAGCTACATCGACTGAGATGGTTAGGACATGTGTTACGTATGCCTAGTCATCGCCTTCCTCGACGAGCAATGTTAGCTGATATTGGGTCAGACTGGAAAACAGCTAGCGGCGGTCAAACCAAAACGTGGCACCAGTCAATGAAATTCACAACAGTTACTTTAAGCCACGTAGGAAGGTGTAGAATCCCTGGTTAGGTCCTCGGGACGGTAAAAACCAATGGTTGGAAACAATTGGTGACATGGCTCAAAATCGTTCTCGATGATGGCGCAGATGCATTCACTCCTTGTGACTTATGATTTCCAATGAAACTGTTTTGTTCTTCGTTGTTACTATTCCTTTGTCTCACACCTCTTTTTACTGTCTCTATTATGCATTTCTTCTACTTTCTTCCCTTGCTTTGTGTGCTACATGGAGTGTGGCGACTTGAACTGCTGCACATCGGTGCGAAGTTCTATGTTGAATACAGGCAGACAGACTTTTTCTCCTCTCTGCAGTACCAGTAGGTACGAAGCCTTATTTCAGAACTTCTTTACCGTCGTCATTGTTATTATTGTTGTTAGTGAAATAATATATGTTGTTCCCTATTTTTATTCCGAGTCTAAAGATTTCAAAGGTTCACCCAGACTTTATGTATTGATATCTGAAATTCAATTATGAGAAACTCGTAGTTACTTTTAAATATGTAGAAGTGTATTGGGTTCATAGGTTAACGATACGGCACGGCTTTTATTTGTGTGTCATAAATGTACTAAAGACTTTCCAGTCTTTGTGGCGTCATGTAATCTCATGACAATATATGATAAAAGTACAGTGTCTCGCGAAGCTTGGGTTTTTACTCACTTGGGCTGAAATTCAGTGACCTTGAACTCAAGCAATGCTAACTCGTGATATAGCGGTGCCCCCACCGATTCCTTGGATGAACGTCTACTTTATCTTAACATGGTTGGACCCCACTGGTCACGAATCTTCACTGTTTTCCCGTATTGAACCTCGCCTAATAATTTACTCAATATATATATAGGTTTTCTTCATTTGGTAATCTCTCCTTTTCACCTTTGACTTCAATTCCCGAACTGACCATTTAACCTATATCGATTCGAGATTTGATCTTTCTACCATTTGATAGCTTTTTACTTAAATGTGTCATCAGATTGTTCAAAGTGTATTGTTGCGTCATTATATGACACGCTTCAGATAAATCACATTTTGTTATTTCATTTTTTCTAATTGAGAACTAACTGGTTTGCTTTCCATAGATTCCTGCTGGTGCTGAAGATTCACGTAAATTATTAGTTAAACAAGGTCACTTGGTAGTATTCTCTGCGTGTATCCGAACCATCTCCACTTTATTCAGCATATTTGCTGGACAATGGGTTCTTGATTGGTTCGTTCCTAGAGTTCCTTGTTGCTAGTCCTTTCTGGTCGGCCATTTGATCTTCAGTATGGAGTCAGAGAAAGCAATTGTTGGTCAGAATGCCTACGCGTTGTATTTTTTTTACAAACCTCTATAACACTGTAGATACAAGCTAAACGAATTAATGTGTTTGCATTTGGAATTGTAATAATATTCTGTTGTATGCTAAACGCTTATTGTGCTTTGTGTTCATGTAATGTTTCCTCGGTGTAGTTAGAAAATAGCTATAAGAAACGGATGTTTCACATTATCATCAAGTTATGAACCACATTTACTGTGTAAGGTCTGATGATGCTACTCAGTGTTGCTTAGACTGAAATAAGTGGAGCCCATTGGTTGCAACTCGAGTGCTTGAGTCAATGACCTACATCTCTTCCTCCCAAACACATGGTCCTCGTTAACTTTGACTATTTAACACAAGGTCAGCGAATAGATACGTCCGAATACGAGTTAAAATCACTTAGGCGGGGGTGTTGTTTATCATAGAGCACTGAATAACTATTTCTTTGTAGTTCATATGAACGGTGATTAAGATTTGACCGGATAGTTGCAAAATAATTGAGCTCTGAGTGAGAAGTAGACATTTGTAAAATCTCGGCGATATTGAAATGATTAATTCCAACGTTTCGTTCGGCCATCTGGTTCGAACTTCTTCAGGGAAATTAATCGAAATTAGCATAACAGAGGTTTATATATAAAAGGAACAACTCTTGTTTTTAAACCTTGTCCAATCATGAGCCATGCAACAGGCATCAACATGTATAATAAATAAATAAATAAATAAATAAAATAGTATGTTTATACATAAAAGTACATCTCTTGTTTTAAATTGTTTGTCCTGTCATATGAATCAAGAAACAGCTATCAATAGGTATAATAAAAAAATTTTTTTATGAACTTTGGTCAAAATTTGACCTCAGACTTTCAAAAATTTGTCATTGTTTGTGCTCTTTCACTCACTGACACTGTCTAGAAGTTTCTCCTACATGTGCGGCGTTACAATCCCCACAATTGCTCTGGTATACGCAATTCTGTTGGTTTTCTTGTTCTATTTTATCCTTAACCTTCACCAGTAATGATCGTAAGGTGTTTGATGCGCGAAAATACACTCCTATGTTATGGTCGTTAAGGATTCGCTTTATTTCGTCGGATGTTTCTTTGCGGTAAGGAATCACTGCTGTACTAACCCAATTCTTAGCATCAGGTTTTGATTCATCCTTATCTTCACATTTTAAATATCTATTTATGAAAGCTTTAGGGTAATTATTTGATTAAAGAGTGGATTGAACCAATTTTAGTTCCTTGCTAATATCTTCCTCCTCAGTAACTAGACGTTTGGTTCTGTTGATCAGATTCTTGGCCACAGTTACTTTGGTGGTAAATGGATGAGCTGAATAGTAATCTAGGTACCTATCCGAATTTGTTGGCTTTCTGAAAATGTTTATTTTAAATTTGCCATCTAATTTTCTTTTTACTAAACAATCCAGGAACGCCAACTCATTCTCATCGGATTCAACCTCTTTGGAAGACTTGATAGTTTCTGTAGTTTGGGACTGGTGTTCTTCTTTGACCCTTCCATAAACTCGATATCTTTTTAATTATTTCCACTGTTAACGAAGTTGGCCTCGCCGGTTATACTAAACAAGAGTCGATAGAATACTCAATTTTAGACATGGAATCTTATGCATGATCCTCTTTACTCATATATACCATCGGGTTTAATGCAAATCAATGTTATCCTGCTAAATTTTAAGTTGCGTTTTTGTAATCCAACTCGATTAGGTGTGAATTTGAGTATACAAAAACATCAGTAAACATATCTTGACACCAATTGTGTGCAGATACAATGGATCAGGAATCGATAAAATAGGTTTTTGAGTTGTGATTATAGCGATAATTAGTGTGATTGTTTGTGTGTGACCTAATTACTTTGAAATTAGGTCAATGGCCTTTTCTATAAGTGATCATCAGGTGATTAAGTAGCTGACCTAGCGCCAATTTACTTAACACCTCTCAAAAAAGTTATCTACTTTCATTTTGTACATATTATTATGTTCTTTTCGTTTTTCTATATGAATTGATTTTATATAAATAGTAATGATAGTATTATTATTACTATTCTCTTGGATTTCAAGTGGAACATGGGGATTCAACAGGACAT